GGCCATCTTGGAGGTATCTTGAGCCCTCTCTGGACTCTAGAGGCCATTTTGGGGCCTGCTTTCCATGGATCTCGACTGGGGTGCCCTCTTGGAGCTGCGTTGTGTTCCCTCAGGGCGGTCCTGGAGCGCTCTTGGGGGTCCAGCAGACCACCCGGGGGAATTCGGCATCTTTTACAAGGGGACGTTGCCGGGATATTTGTTATCCAGGGACCCCCAGGGGCGGCCCCGCGCGCGCGAATTCGCAGTGTTCTAAACATGTTACCAGAGATCTCAGCACGCTCCTGGCCCGTTGGGCTGGCGAATTTGTATCGTACTGAACCGAGCTTTTCTATCGCATTTGAGCCGAGCATCGTTGCCCCTGTACCGCGTGATTGAACATACTTCGCATGAGTAGCTGCAGGTGTGCATGCATGCGTGCACGTATCTATTTCGTCATTTTTTGAGCCAACCGTAGCCACCGAGGTTCGAACCTGGAAGCCATCAGACACGTCCTGGAGCCAGGCGGAACAAACATTTGGGTAGCACAGTTTGGGAGTTCTTTGGTTTCACCGTGCCGCGGCGTGCTGAGGCCTGGCGGTCGCACTCCCCCCCCGAACAAGAAACTCACAAGGCGAGCGCGTGGTCGGCACGGCTCGCCGCCACGGCGCGCCGACATGCTTGCACACCCCGATCGGCACACGCCGGCGGCGTGCGGCAGGGGGTGGCGGCGCAAACGGGGGCGGGCGGCGTCCGGGGAGGACCAGGGCTCACGGGCCAACGCAGGTCATGATGATGGATGAATGCGCATTCGATCAATTGCTTTTAGAGAACACCAGCGATTCATTGAAACGAGAATTGGTTTTGTCAAACCGTGCCACCGAATCAAAACAAGACAGAGAACATCATTCAGTAAGCGCAGGAGCCTGAACATTGAATCCAAATACGATGTTTCTAAATTTGGGGTCGTTTTTTGCTGAATCCGGAATCCTATCACTACCATGGTTCAGGTTGGTCGATCAATGGGGAGGATGGATCGGCCACGCGCAGAGGAGGGTGGGGTGGAGGGGGGAAGGCGTTTCAGAAGCAGCTCTGGTCGTAAGAAGGCGCGGGCCTTGTCTATAGATGCAGGGCCGGCGCCTGCTAAGAGGCCCCCCTCCCCCTGCCCCCATTGTGCGCGCCGCCGGGGGGGAGGATGGATCGGCCACGCGCAGAGGAGGGTGGGTGGAGGGGGGAAGGCGTTTCAAAAGCAGCTCTGCTCATAAGAAGGCGCGGGCCTTGTCTATAGATGTAGGGCCGGCGCCTGCTAAGAGGCCCCCCTCCCCCTGCCCCCATTGTGCGCGCCGCCAAGTGGGGGCGGGGAGGCTTGCTTCCTGGAAGGCCTCCCTGGAGGCCCCCCCCCGAGATCGTGGCGTCGCGGTTCTTCATGGCGGGCGCTGTCGCCATGCTTGGGGCCCCGGGCCCCCATGGGTCGGTGCGGCCCGGAGCAGGTGTTGCAGAAAGAGCGGGTCGAGGGAGTCCGTCGAGTTTGTTTGGGATTTTACATGGTTCTCGTGACGTCGGTTCTCAGGGTTCTGGCCCCCTTCTGAGATGCCCCACGTCCTGCCTTCTCAGGAGGTCCCCTTCTTTGGAGGCTTTCTGAGACGGGCTGGGTTCTCAAGGGTCCCTCGAGTCGAGTCGAGTCGAGTCGAGTCGCGCCCTGCACAGAAGAAACTTGCCCCAATGAAGAGGAGGGCGGCGTGCTGCTACCAGGCAGGCGGGCCCGCCCGGAGCAACGAGGTTTGAAAGTACAATTGGTGGGACGAATCAGAAGAGGAGGAGAAGGAGGACAGGAGAGGGGGGGGAGCCGGCTGCTCAGAGCTCGGTGTAGCGAGCTTCCAGTTGGTGCCATTCCTCAGGAAGTCCAGTTGATGCTTGCTAACCTTGTCCGGCGACTTCCACTATGCCATCAGTCCATCTTCTCGTTGGCCGGCCGATGCGGTCTCTCGTACTTTGAATACGTCCAGGGCTCCACGATAATACCTTGTAGGACCACTTATCTGTGTAATCTGACACTAATTGTCCAGCTGCTTTCCATTTCCGTGTTCGGTACTGCGTTATCCAATCAGAAATGCCAATGGTGTCCAACTCTCTTTCGATGTCGCGTGCTGTGCGTTGAAGCCAATGTACCCATGACTCCAAATCGTCCTCTGTAGCTTCGCCCTGCGCCAGTCTCCGCCTTCTGCCAGAGCCCAAGATAAGTCGTAACATTTGTCGTTGTGTTTTCAACAGTTTCCTCTCCATTTCAATGGTCAATGTGCAACAGGCCGCGCCGTACAGCGCGCACGGGGTGACCAAGGAGTCAAGCAGTCGCAATCTCGAGCGAAGCGGGTAGCTTGTGTTCGTGAGCTCCTCCTTGAAGACGGAAAATTTCTTCCATGCGCAATGAAGCAGGATATCCAATTCCACGCCGTGGGGATCTTGAAAACAATTTTTTCTGCCCAAGTACTTGGTGGTCTCCTCTCGTTTAAGAATCTTGGTCGGCATCCCGTTGACCAAAATGTGGTCTTGCGCGGCCTCACCGCGCCTTGCCCGTACATTCGACAGCACCACCGTTTTGCTTGTATGTAAAGCGAGCCCACATCGAGCGCAAGCCGTGGAGACATCCGCTAACATGCGTTTGAGACCTGGTAACGAGCTGCTCACCAACAGAACATCGTCGGCGAATCGCAAATTTGTAAGCCACTCACCACCCAAGTTGAAGCCGTATGAACCGTCCACCCACATAGCCTTCAGCGGCTGGAAAATAAACTCCAGGACGGCATTGAAGAGCACCGGGCTCAAGGGGTCCCCCTGCTTCGTTCCTCTTCGAATGCAGAATTCGCGCGACGTGTTGTCGAGCTTGACCGTACCAGTCTGCGAAGCATACAACTTTTGCAAAATCGTCACATATGGCTTCGGAACTCCCTGTTGTAGGAGTGCTGCCCAAATACTATCATGTGAAATGCTATCGAAGGCTTTCTTAAAATCCAAAGTGGCAATCCACAGCGACCTCCCCCATTCGACACATTTGTCATGTAATAATGTGTATGCAAGCAGATGGTCCTCCGTGCTGTAATTCGTCCGGAATCCGGCTTGATCGATACACTGCGCTGCATCCAGTATTGGCGTCAAGCGTCTCCTCAATAGTTGGTTGAATAATTTGTATAATAATGGTATTATTGTTATGGGCCTGTAGTTTGATGGCAACCGCGGGTCCCCGTCCTTGAATAACACAGTTATGGAAGATGATCTCCAACTCTCTGGGGTCTCAGCTGCAGTATCCAGTACGTCGTTAAACAGACGGGTGATCATCTTGGCCAGAACCTCGCCACCGTCCTTCAACATCTCGCTTCTGATGCCTGCCCGGTCAGCTGCTTTCCCTCTCTTTAGTGCCCTTATTTCGTCACGTACTTCATTACAAGAGAAGGGCGGGATGGTTTCACCATCGGCGTTTCCAAAGAGTAGTTGTGGCCCCGTTACTTGGTAGAGATCCTCGCAAAAATCTGCGAATACGTCGGCGATCGCTTGCCTGTCACGGTGGTGCTTCCCAGCTTTGTCGATTGCCTCCACGATAAAGCTACGTTTCCGAATTGATTTCTCTTTCGGGATGTTCCTCACTCCTTTAAACTCCAACGTGCAGTGCAACACGTCGGAACACCGTGAATCGGCATCATAGTCAATTGAGCCTTGAGGAACATAGAAAGTAATGTCGGGAACACTTTCTGGAGCATGCAACGGCACATCATGATATAATATAGCCCGTGCTCGAATCCAATGAGTCTCGAACGACAGACAATGGGTATCAACAAACATACGATACTTATATAGGAAGTACTACGCCGTTACAAAAGTTCGTCACGTTTCATGAGAGCTTGAAGGTGGCATGGGTTTCGTGTCTTCCTTCCGCGTGAGCAAGCGGGCAGAGGCTGACCACTGCCCTGGCCGCGCCGAGTTGGCCCCCCCTTCCCCCCTAGAATCCTAGCGGACTGTGTCAAGAGCGGTCGGATCAAAGATCCATTTTTTCTAAAAGTGAGATTTCATCCCTTACTATAATAGTATAGATTTAAAAAGGGACAGATTGAAATCCCGACGTAAATTCACACGGCTCTAGAAATCCCACCGGGGCGGGATTTGTCTTTGCTTATGCCAGATGATCGACTCTTATTTTATGACGAAGCTTTTGTAACGCCGATGTATGAGAAAAGGGACCCTGAGACACACGGGGGAGCCTTGAGAGAAAGAAGATGGTGATATTACCAAGTGCCCCAAGAATGTCAGAAGGCACATCGGTTAGTCGACACATGTGTTTATGGCAGCAGCAGTCAATGGCAAGAAATACAAACGGGCAGCATTGAAATGTACCGACATGAACAGACGCATGGCACACATGAAAATCAATCCGATAATAAAGACTCTGTGAGGAAAGCACACCAAGCCTTGGTACATATACAAGGAACATGTGGAACGTATAGAAAAGGGGAGTCGACACATGGGCAGTGCAATTTGTAAGTCAAAAGGGTACAGACGTCAGCAAGAAGAACTCGTATGAGTACTTAGGAAAATGACAAGCGATTCCAAGAAGCCCCCCACACTCAAAATAATCGGTCGAACGACAACAGACGTGGAATACGAGCACTCAAGAGGAGTCCAACGCGAAAGACGGAAGAACGCGAATAATCGCAAGGAGTCTTGCAGGTGCCATTCGGCGCTTGTGGGCGCAAGTTGGCGCCAGCGAGCGACAGTGCGAGCCAGTGCAAGCCAGTGTGCGCCTGCACGTTGTGCCCTGGTCGCAGGCCAACTTTTCCAGGGTGCCGGATGCGTCAGGATTTTACCGAAAAGGGGGGCCTTCATTGTTTCTTTCATCCAGTGGCGAGGCCCCCCAAATAATGTTCTGAGAATTCTTTGTGGTTTGCACGAAATGTTATCAGAACATTTCTGGCTGGGGCTGTCTTGCTTTAACACATCGGGAGTATGTATTAAGAATATTGTTATGTTTGTTCTAACGTGTATGGGTTCTAAGAACATTTCGCAACAGGCCCATAGGAATGCTGGGACGGTCGGTCCCTGCTCAATTCTTGCGATGGTGCAGTTCTCGTTGACGTGGTTGCCTCGGCCATCGGGGGGACACGGGTCCGGCATGCCCCTTTTGTGCGCGCCGCGGAGCAGGGCAGGCAGTCAATAGTGTGAGTGCAGTATTCGATGTGCGAATATGAGCACGCGAGCATCGGAACATCTCCGTGCGGATTCCTGCGCAAGTGCCAGGCCGCGGGCAAGACGCCCTTCTACATCCAGAAGATGCAGCTGGAGATGTCCCTGCCCTGCCGCACACGATTGCAGACGAGAGTGATCACAGTCAAACCACGCGGCTCGATGTTTTTCAGGTCCCGCCTTAGGTGTTCTTCTGGCGCGTCTAGCACACCGAGGCGCAAATGGGGCCTAAGAGGGCCAGTGCTCCTTGGTTGATGCCCCTTCTGGTTAAGACTCTGACCAGCGTGAGTGCTTAATTTACACGGTTGTCATGGAGATGTGTCAGGGATCGTTGGCTCTTGTGCCAAACATATCGGAGTCGTGCATATTGGATCTCGGGCCAGCATCATCGTCTCCCGTTGTCAGTGTTGTTTTGTAGGGCTGTCCCTTGCACACTCTTTGCGCTCTGAAACACCCTCGTTTTCGATCTCCTGCTGGATCCGCCTCAGCGTCCCCTCCACGTGTGGTGGGGTGAAGTTTGCTTCGTTCTGGAGACAAGCCACGGCTGACAGGGGAACGAGTCACAAGTCACACAAGGTTGTCGACGTGAATCCAGCAAATTTAGGGATGAGGCACAGTATGCGAGGTTCGTTTCACATCTCCACTCCTTTCGGCTGCGACTGCAAACACGGCTTGTAAGTGAATTGTGAATGCGAGTTTGCGCGTTTGAAGAATTTCTGCTCGCTGGTGCCACACTAAAGTATGCGCACTCCAAAGGCTTACGCCGTTCCGCCGACCCCCAGAAAAGAATCTACGCTGGTTCCGATGTTTAATGCGTTGTCTGCCGCTTTCGGTCGTGCTGCATACGTGTTGTGATTGTTGATTGGCCTGCTCTTCATCAACGTCTGCTGCGGTGTTTCGTCGGGGCCTCTTCGTGGCCTCGGGGGCGGGCGCCTTTGCAGGGCTCCTGGGGCCTCTTGGGACCCTCTGGGGTCTGGGGGCTTCTTGGGGACCTCTTAAGGGTATGTTGAAGGTTTGGGGGCTATCTTGTTGTGGGGGAGGGAGGAGGGGCAGGTTCTCTGAAAGTTCTGAGGCTCCGAGGGCTCGGAGGTACCCCATCCCCCACATGTGGACCCCCCCTTGCACGAAATGAGGGGGGACAGCCAAATGTCTCACAAGCCTTTCCACCCTGGAGGGTTTGTTGGACGTTTTCCAGGGCCTTGTTAGGGTCATCTTGAGCCGGTTCCAGGACTCGTTGGAATTTTCTCGGGTCCTCTTGCGCCTTGTACAGCCATTTTGTGCAGCAGTTTTTTCGCCTAGAAACATGGAAAGCCACATAGGTTGATGCACGTACGCTTTGTGTACGATGGTGGCTGTTCGTTGCCTCTCTCGAACCCTCATAGGGTCTCTACTGCACGTCTTGGAGCCTCTGTGGACCTCTTGTGTTGTCGCCGAGGCCAGCTGGCACTGTTAGGGCCGTCTTGGAGCCATTCTGGCCCGTTTTGGTGCCGTCTTGGAGGCGTCTTTGGCTGAGTGAGGGTGGGTAGGGAACGAGCAGGGGGATGGGCGCCGCTGGGCCCCCCCCCGTTAACTCTGCAGCTGTGGGCGTGGTGAGGGGGGAGGGACTGTGTGGCGGTGAGGCTCTCACACGCCTGATGTCTCCCAGCGGGGTCGGCGGATCTGGGCTCTTCGCGGCCCCCAAGCGGCTGCCGCCCTGGTGCCGACATGTTGCAGGTCTGGGCCAGTACATTAGAAGGAGCGTCTTGTACATCCGGTCTCTGGCGCCAAACGGTCGAGCTGTGTTGCGCTGCTTCGCTGCAGGCTGTCTCTAAAGGGGCACAGTGGCATTTGATCTGCAGTCTCGCCATCATGGCCCTGGTCAGCCAGAGAAGCACTGGCTGCGTTTCGGCCAAAGCCAAGCAGAGGCTGGCGTTTGCTATATAATGATCCGAGGTGGTCGGACAATATTTCCATGTTAATTGGGCCCGGAAGCGAGGCCCCCCTTGCGCCGAAATTGGGAGGGCACGACAGCATTGCACGAAGGCATGACTGCGGAGGTCTGGCCCCCCCCCCTGTTCTGGTCTTCAGCGACCCACAAGCTGGCTCGACCGCGCGGTCACTCGCGCGCAAGCCTTGCGTCGAAAGGACGCGCGCAGGTGCCCCTTCTTCTCACGTGGCGTACCAGGTGAGCGGTCTGCGTAAGCCTCCACGTGAGTCACCATGCCAGGGCCCAATTCGGATCCGATGTCGAGTTTACCTGGCTGGATCCGGTTTGGTTCCGGTTTCGTAGCGATCCGAGGCGTTCCGATATTGGCACGGCTTGTTTTGCATCCGGGCCTGGCGCGGCCGGTCCCATTGGATCCCGACTCCGTGCCGATGCCGCTGATGCAGCCCGATCTGATTTTCCTTCCGATTCGACCTGGTGTCGATGCTGATTGGCCCTGCCATGCCCCCCTGCGTAAGTCCCGGGCTTCCCCGTCGCTCTCCCGTCGGATGGGACGAACGGGCGACGGGGGGATAGGGAAAGGGGGGATTACGAACTCTGCTATATGTTGCTGGTTCCCGCAACGCCGCCGGGCGCCCTCCTCGATCCGCTGGCGCCAATGGCGCCAAGAGGCGCTGGGAAAACCAGCTGCGTGAGCTGATTCATCAACACCCTCCTTTCCCAGACCCGCGACGTCGTGTTTTTCACAACGTGCCCCGGGAGGCTCAGCCCCATGTTGCGGGACCGATGCTTCTTTCCTAGCCGATTGTTGACGGTCCCGGCGAGGGCCCCGCAAGGGGCGCGATTTTTCGTGACGCGAAGAGGATCTTTCGTGGTGCGAGGGAGGTATGGGGTTGTTGTCTCCGTATTTCGCCTGACCCGGGCCTGGAGGTCTGGAGTGTGGGTGTCCATCTTCGCGGCGTTCTTCGTGCCCGCGGTCGTGCAGGGAGGGGCCTGGGACCCGCTCGCGGCCAAGAGACTGTGGCGGCCCCGGGCACCTCAGAAGCGGCCGTGCTCTTGCAGGCCGCGAATGTGCTCCACGGGATTGCCTCGAGGCCACTGGCCGTTCTCAGCGCTCGTCCTCCTCCCGGGTGCTACGAGGTCCCAAATCCTCTCTCCTCATCCTCCTCCTTAGCCCTCAAGCCCCCCCTCCTCCTTCTTCTCCTCCTCCTCCTCCTCCTCCTCCTCCTCCTTGTTATCTCCCTCCGGCTGCCGTTCATCTATGGGCTCCCCATCAGTCGCCGATAGGTCAGCCCAACCGTGGTTCCTTTTCCGCTCGGGCCTGGAGGGGCTAGGGCGGTCGGTCAGATATGGCATGGCATGGCCATAAAAGAGGATTTAGCGGCATATTGGGTTTCCCATCTTTCGGAGTTGTAGGAAACACAGGTATGGCCAACAAAAAGGAGGGTACACCAGCTGTATTTGGTATTCCAATAGTTCGATTTATGGGAAGGCTCCCTTATCCGCTCGGGCTTGGGAGGGGCTGGGGCGATCGGGAGCAAGTATGAGGAACCCAGATATGGCAAAACACAAACTAATAAGGCTCAGTAGTCATATGTGGGTTTCCCATAATTCGCAATGATTGGAAACTCAGATATGGCCCGACAATGAGAGTACAGCAGTCAAATCTTGGTTTCCCATGATTTCGAAGTATGGGACACCCAACCGTGGCTCTTTTTCCGCTCGGGCCTGTGGGAGAGGCTGGGGCGGTCGCGAGCGTTTATGGGAAATTCAGATCTGGCCCAAAAAGGGTGTATAGCGGACATGGGTTTCGCATAATTCTGAATCTTGGGAAACCCAGGTACGGCCCAAACAAGTACACCAGCCGTATTTGGGTTTCCCCAAGAAATCAGAATCATGAGAAGCCCAGCAGTGATTCTTTTTCCGCCAGGGTCTGAGACGGGCTTGGGCGGTCGGGAGAAATAGTGGGACACCCAGATCTAGTCAAAAGCATGATGGCACAGCTGTTAGAGCTCGGTTTCACATGATCCAGAATTGTTGGAAACCCAGGTATAGCAAAAAAGGGAGGTGCACCGGCCATAGTTGGGTTTTCCATAATTCGAATTCTGCGACACCCAGCCGTGGTTCCCTTTCCGCTCGGGCCTGAGAGGGCTTGGGCGGCCAGAAGAAATAATGGTAACCCCATGCCCAGGATAATAAAGTACCCCCCCCTTAAGTAGTTTTATCGTCGGCCTAGACGGGTTTCAAGTAGAAGCGGAGGGCACGGAGGCCGAACTTCATTATCACGGGGAAAGTTCGCCATCGAGGTTACTTCCTTCTTATGTTGATAACAACATCAAGCGAAGCGAACACGTTTTTTCAGGATGTCTCAAGCGAAACCAATGTCTTTATGTCTCTTTGTAGTTAGTTATGTCTTTATTTTTTTCTTTCTCTGTCTCTCTCTCTCTCTCTCTGTCTCTCTATCTCTTTCTCCTCCTCCCTCTGGCGCCCTGAACTTGTTTATCGCTGGGGTTGATTATCCTGGGGAAACGAGGCACGTGAGCTAAGCTACACGAGCAGATGAAACAGTTTATTTTCATCAAGCGCTTACAAATTAAATATAATACGTTTTAAACTTTTGATTTTTGCTATCTCCTTCTCCTCTCTTCCTCTTGCTCTTTCTCCTCCTCCTCATCCTCCTCCTCCTCCTCCTCCTCCTCCTCTTCCTCCTCTAACTACCTCCTCTTCTCTTTCTATGTTTCTATGTATCTCTCTATCTTTCTTCTCCTCCCCCTGCCCCCCTGAACTTGTTTATCGCTGTGGTTGATTATCCTGGGAAAACGAGGCACATGAGGAATCTCGAGGATGCCTCAAGCGAAACAAGCAATGATTTAAAGTATGTCTCAAGCGAAATAAGCAATAATTTGAAGATGTCTCAAGCGAAACAGACAAATATTTCGAGGATGTCTCAAGCGAAACAAGGAATTCGTTGAGGATGTCTCAACCGAGACAAATCATTGTTGAGGATGTCTCATAGAGGACCAAAGACCAAGGATCCTCAAGATGTCTTTGGTTTTTTCCTCTTGATATCTCATTATGCTGGCTCTGGCGGGCAACTTTTATTATCTCCCCGAAAACCCGAACTTTACTATCCCTGGGGGTTTATTATCCGAGGTTTAGGGTTAAACCTTGATGTGGCAAAACACTTGACGGCATAACTGTAATATCTCGGTTTCCCATGATCTGGAATGATTGGAAACCTAGGAAAGGAAACAACTGGGAAATGCACCTGCCAGTTTTGGGTTTCATTGTTCGAAATCTGCGAAACCCAGCCGTGGCTCCGTTTCTGGGCTCGCTTGGGAGCGTCCCAAGCGCGACAGCGCGCTCCTGCCGGCTCCTGCCGGCTCCTGCCAGAAACGGCCTCCCCAACATTTCTGTCCCAACCATCCTGTGGTGTTGGGTCTTCGTTTTGAAGAGAGCGCCCCGCGTCACCTCATCTCCAGCCCTCCTCCCCATTCGCCGTCCTCCTCTCACCCCATTTCGGTACACCCCACACGTTTCGTGGCCCCAGAAGGAGTTCCAGCTAAGGTACCAGTGGCGCAGTTCGCATGTTGGCGCCACCCCCGTTTCAGCACACCCCTCACACGTTTCGTGGCCCCATGAGAAGTTCCAGCTAAGGTCCCAGTGGCGCAGTTCGCATGTCGGCGCCACCTCCATTTCGGCGCACCCCTCACGCGTTTCGTGGCCCCATAGGGAGCTCCATCTAAGGTCCCAGTGGCGCAGTTCGCATGCGGGCGTCACGCCCATTTCGGCACACCTCTCACGCGTTTAAATGTCCCATCGGGAGCTCCACAGAGTGCCTCTGTGGCACAGTATGCATGCGGATCCCCACTCATTTCGGCACACTCCTCACACGTTTCGCGACACCATCGGGAGCTCTAACGAAAGCGATGGCCACAACGCAGTGCTCACAACTGCATATGGTGGGGTCTCTCGCGTGGATAACTATGTACTACGAAATTGCTCATTGGCCGCCGAGGGGGGCCAGCGAGGGGGTCCACCCAGAGGGGCCAGAATTCTTTCGCCTGAGAGCAGGCTTTGTAATGCCGGACTACGGGAGACCAAGAGATGGCCAAAAAAGGGGCACACACCGTCAATATTTGGGTTTCCAATAATTCGAATTGTTCGAAACCGAACTGTGGCTGGTCCCTCCCAACGTCCCCCCCCATGCCCGCCGTCAATCGATTTGGGCCAGCAGGGATTGATTGGCGCGGGGTGTCACTTCGCTCGCGACCGCTCGCGGAGTTTGCACCCCAAACGGCGTCGCAGGGCCCCCCAGGATTTGGACTGGCAGGGGTTGGGCTCACGTATGGCTGCTCATCCCCCCTCCCTCCAGGGTCATTTTGTGCTGATCGATCCGATTCGATATCGGTTTCGGCTGACCCGATCCGATTATTTGAATCATTGTCCCTGTGTACTGAGGCAGTTGTAGAGGAGGGGGTACACAGGACATAATGTTTACACAGTTTGGAGGAACCGGTAAATTCAGGATGGGTCGGGCTTGAAGTGCCTCGAAGAAAGCGCCTGCACCCGAATCGCACGCATATGGCTATATGCGGACCGAAGATAGTTTGCTTCCCGTCGTCGTCCTCGCCCTTTCTCCGTCCCCCTTCCCTCTTCCCCCCTGGACTGACTGGTGTCGCAAGCGTCCGCGGATCGGGCGGGAGAGCGCCCCTTCCCACGTCCCCCATTATTCCGTGCTCCTCGTCGTTTTTCCTTCCTTGTTCGGAGAAGGGAAGTGAAGTCCCTGGTGCCGCGTGCCGCGTGCCGGTGGGGCGAAAGCGAAGGTATATTTGGAGAAGGCGGGGGGTGGGGCATGAGGATGAGGAGGGCGCCAGCGAACGCTCAGCTGATCAGTGTCTGCGTGTCCGTGAACCCCCCCCAGAACACAGCGATCGGTTGCAGAACTTCATGATCTGGGTAGTCCTGCGCGGCGTGCTTCCAGGCCAAAGGCTCGAATCCACGACGGCATTGGTGATGCCGCCCCGCTTTGCTAGACCGCATATTCACGGATAGGCAGAATCTGTGCTTCAACGTTTATGTCATGACCATTTCTAAAGTAACATACCCACATTGGAATCCAATCCGATTCCGATGTTCTGACCATCCGATGTGGCCACGTTCCGATCCGAGTCGATTTACCGTCGAGACGTTGAAACAATAACCAGCTTGGCTTCAGTTGGCGTTGGTTTTCGGGCCGCTCTTTCTCTAGCTTTTGGTCAGGGAATAGATTCGTGGCCGGCGTTAGCCATGGCCAGAGAATCCCCTCCGTTCTTTATTCATCGTTCTGTATGTCAGCAAGTGGATGGTTTTACTATCGATTCGATGCAAACCACTCGTGCCCCGCCGCAAGGTGGAAGTCGACACAGCTCAGCTGCCAAGGACGGCTTCCCGATGAAGGCCCCGTCGTCGGCGGAGGGGGCCTGTTCGAGGCCATTCGCCCCCGGGGCGTGCCTGCTGAACTCCAAGCTCTGGGCCTGCAGTGGGCTGCAGCAGCAGCGCGATCGATGACCGGCAGCGATCTTCGAATAGTTGTTGTATTGATTTTTCGTTGATTTTCAATCTTTGGAGGGTTTTCATCGGTTTCGGGCTCCAGAGGTAGTTTTCGGACCTTCGGCCGTCGGAAACCGATCCAGTAGAAAAATGGGTCTTGGGGGTGCAGTGATCATTTCGAACGGCCGCCAGAGGCCCTTCTGTTGCAGGCGTCGTCGATCAAAAATCGAAGGTTTCGGGCGATTTTGGGCATTCCAGTTGATTCTCGATGGTGTCCGCAGTTCGGTCGTTTGCACTGGGTCGATGCGGTTCGGTCGGTTGATGCAGCGCTGCGTTCTTCTGGGCGGCCTTCAGTTTCAGTCGGCTTTGGTCGGTTTCGGCCTCGATGTCGGTTCCGCCGGCCTTGGGTTTTGCTGTCACCGCGGACGCCTGTGATTCCAGCAGGTGTGCCTTCGCAGACTGCAATGGAAGAGTACAAGGCAAGATGAGGTTGCAGGAAACGGCGTGCCCGCCCCGAAGATTTCCTCCCATCCCCTCGCCCTCGCTGGCCCACGCCCACCCGAGTTCATCCTCTTCCCCCCTCCCCGTTCGCCGCTCCGATTCGGGCTCCGATCTCCGACTCCGACTCCCGCCACCTCCGCTTCCTGACCCTGGCCCCGGCCTGCCCGCGCTGCCCCTTCGCAGGGCCGTTCCGTCGGACCAATGGTAGTATGCGCTCGTTCGTTCGTTCCACAGTTTGTCGGCGAGGGCGAGCGGTGGGCGTGTGTGTGTGTGTGTGTGCGTGTGTGCCGGTGTGTGCCTGTGTGTGTGCCGGTGTATGCCGGTGTGTGTGTGTGTGTGCGAGTGTGACGGTCTGTGTGTGTGCGTGTGCGTGTGCGTGTGTTTGTGTTGGTGTCTGGGTGAGTGGATTTGTGTGTGTGGAAGTGTAGGTGTGTGGGTGCGTGGGTGTGTGTGTGTGTGTGTAAGTGTGTGTGCGTGTGTGTGTAGGCGTGTGCGTGCGCGTGTGCGTGAGTGTGCGTGGGCGTGTGCGTGTGCGTGTGCGTGCGCGTGTTCGTGTGCGTGTGTGCGTGTGCGCGTGTGCGCGTGTGCGCGTGTGCGCGTGTGCGCGTATGCGCGTGTGCGCGTGTGCGTGTGCGTGTGGGTGTGTGGATGCGTGGGCGTGTGCGTGTGCGCGTGTGCGTGTGCGCGTGTGCGCGTGTACGCGTGTGCGCGTGTGCGCGTGTGTGCGAGTTTGCGTGTGTGGGTGTGTGGGTGTGTAGGTGTGTGGGTGTGCGTGGGTGTGTGTGCGTGTGTGCGTGTGTGCGTGTGTGCGTGTGTGCGTGTGCGTGTGCGTGCGGTTGTGTGTGTACGCATGTGTGTGTAGGTGTGTGCGTGTGCGTGTGCGTGTGTGTGTGTGTGTGGTTGTGTGTGTGGTTGTGTGCTGGTGCGTGTGCGTGCTCGTGTGCGTGTGCGTGTGCGTGTGCGTGTGCGTGTGCGTGTGTGTGTATGTTTGTGTGTGTGTGTGTGTGTTTGTGCGTGCGCGCGCCGGAGTGTGTGTGTGTGTGCCGGTGTGTGCGTGCGTGCGCCACTGTGTTTGTGCGTGTGCGTCTGCGTGTGCGTGTGTGTGTTTGTGTGTGCGTGTGTGCGTGTTTGCGTGTGTGTGTGTGTGTGTGTGGGTGTGTGCGTGTGTGTGTGTGTGTGTGTGTGTGTGTGTGTGTGTGCGTGTGCGTGTGCGTTTGCGTGAGCGAGTGCGTGTGCGTGTGCGTGGGAAACGGAGGTCGGCGGCCAGCCCAGAGGGGAAGTGAGGGGGGGCAGGCCTGTTCAGAAGGCTCGGAAGTCCTCCAGCCTTCGGAGAAGTTTTCTCAACCTTCCCCGAAGACACAGAAACTTCAGAAGGCGCGAAGGCTTCTGAGAAGTCCCGCCGCCTTCCGAGAAGGCCTTTTCCTTCTGCCTTCCCCCCCAGGCTCGCTGACAGATTCGGCCCAGTCGCCGGACACTTTTCTCAATGCATGGCCGCCGCCTCTGGCGCCGGAAGGCGCTTGGAAAACCGGCTGCATGCCGCCAATTCGCGAATCCCCTTTGGCTACATCACATCATCATCATCATCATCATCATCATCATCATCATCATCATCATCATCATCATCATCATCATCATCATCATCATCATCATCATCATCATCATCATCATCATCATCATCATCATCATCATCATCATCATCATCATCATCATCATCATCATCATCATCATCATCATCATCATCATCATCATCATCATGTTCATCATCATCATCATCCTCATCATCATCATCATCATCATCCTCATCCTCATCATCATCATCATCATTATCATCATGTTCATCATCATCATCATCATCATCCTCATCATCATCATCATCATCATCATCATCCTCATCATCCTCATCATCATCCTCATCATCATCATCATCATCCTCATTCTCATCATCATCAGAATCATAGTCATCACCATCATCATCATCATCATCATCATCATCATCATCATCATCATCTTCATCTTCATCTTCATCTTCATATTCATCATCATCGTGATCTTCATCTTGATCTTCATCTTCATCATCATCATCAACAACATCAAATCGTCGTCATCGTCATCGTCATCGTCATCATCATAGTAACAACTCGAGTGTGGAATGTGTTGGGTAGGGGGAGAGTGGCCGCACAACTGCAAATGGTTGTGATCAAGCTTTTGTGGGGCATGCAAGCCGCCGCCACGCGATTCCTCTCGGATATCTCGCGCGGCGCCTCGTCTGCCACGTCGGGACCGCCTCCTGCTTGCCCATCCTGCTCGTGCGACTGTTCGCCGACGTACAGCATTACGTGCCCCAGCATCGACGGCCAGCACGCTCTGCAAGTGGTCACCGCTTGGGACAGCCACATTGTGCTTTTCTTCTTCGGCCTCCTCGTGGGCGTCATCGTGCTCCCTGTGGTCTGGAACTGGAAAGCTCAGGCCGCAGGGGGCCACGGGCAGGTCGTGCCCGAGCCGCCCACTTGTGGCATCCACGCCCACCATTCCGTCGGCCGAGGAGATCCGCGCCCTGGCCTCACAGCAGGCGCCGTCGCCAGGTGAAGTGCATGCCGTCCGATATCGAGTGGGAGGGCCTGCTGTGTATCATGAGCAGATCACCCTGATTGACGTGCCGCCTGGAACGGCATTGGTCCTCACGGTGGATGGGGATGTTTATGAGGGGACGATTGCGGTGGACGCGGATGCTCAGGAGGTTCGCCCGCTCAGGGGCTTCGGCGCCCCGCTCTTCGGCATCGCCGAGGCCAACACGTACAGGTTCGTGGCCGTCCCGAACGCAGCCGCCATGTGGGCCCACTTGCGCGTTGTTGCGGGTCTGCTCGGCGCGCCGATGCCCCCAACGCCCCTCGTCGTGGCGGGAGGCGTGGGCGTGGGCGCGGCCTGGATGCCGCAGCCCGTGCCGCTGGACGACCCTGCCCGTGCGGCCGCGGTCGCGGCAGCCGCAGGGGCAGGGGCTGGCGCCGCGGGCGCTGGAGCGGCCGCCCGCCGCTGGCGGCGGTGCCGCGGGCCCTGGCGGTGCTGGGGCCCTGGCGGCCGCCCTCGGGGTAGCCTTGCCGCCGCTGGCGGTTCCCGCGGCGGCGCCCGCCGCGTTGGCGCGCTTGGCGCCGCCGCGCCCGTGGCAGCCGCTCAAGGCGTGGCCGCGGCTGACTGCCGTGTGCTCGAGCTGGCGCGGGACGCCTCGGGCCGTCGGGCGCTCGATTTCACGGCCGCGGCCCTCCAGGCTTCGTCTACACCGCAGGCAGACTGGCCGATCAAAGGGCCGCGCACCACCCAGTGGTGCCTGACCGCATGCGCAGGAATGCTGGCAGCCCGCTGGCGTGGCATTCGAAGTGGAAGGCGGAGGCTCGGTTCCGCGATACCGACTCCATCTGCCAGCAGCACGAGATGAATGGCAGGCTGGTCGAGTTCGGGAGCTCTGAGCTCGCTGCGCTCGAGCTCATCTGCCGCCAAATCCAGGTCATCGAGGAGCGGCACTACGAGGGCGCTGTCTCCGCCCAGGTCGCTGCCGAGGATAAGCGGTCGGGCAAGGACAAGAAAGCTTCCGCCACCAGCGAGAGCTTGCTGGCGGTCGAGGTGGACTACTACATGGGAGTCTCGGCGAGCAAGGGCAACCTCTAAATCGCCCCCGCTCTCGCCGAGTTCATTGCTGAGCAGCTGAAGGCGGAGGCTTCCATCGCCAAGGAAAGGCGCGAAGCCCGCGAAGAGCGGGCGGCGCGCGCATAGCCATACGGAAGCTCCCCCCAGGCAGGCGCAGGCACTTCGGCGCCGCCTGGGCGAGACCTGCATTTTCGCGGCGGCTCTGTCTCAAACCGTTATGTCACGCGATGGCCCCTGGAGTTCGACGGCGCGACGCGTTCCCTACCCCGGCCCTGGCGGTGGACGCTCGCGCGGAAGCTCGCCGCGGTCGGCGGGGGCGCGCCCGGCGCGGGGCGGCTTGGCGGCGATGGGCGAACGACGGCATCGCCGCCCTGAACCAGCTGAGCGGCCACTCGTCCCCTGCGCCAGCACCGCCCGGGCTGGTGGCGTCGGCGGCGCAAGCGAGCGCGATGGTTCACACTTCTCGGGTTTATCAACATTTCCCCCGTCCTCCTGAACATCGGGAAGATCATCGTTCTGGCGAAGCATCCTTGGCGGAGTTGCTCGCGCCGGCGCCTGGCCACTCCGCAAAGGCCCATCGCGTCAAGCCATACAGTAAGGACTTGGTGTCCTGGCCCGATCTCTCAACGCCGCCAGTCGAAGTCGCTGATAACGCTGGAGAGGCCGAGCGCGAATGTTTGTCGGGATGGAGACGGACCGCGCTCAAGGGCGAGTCGTCTGCTTCGGCTCCGAGAGCGGCTTCAGCGCCGCAGCGCCCTTCCGTCGATCCGATTTCGGCCGACAGCCCCAGAGCCCGCGCCGGGTTCGTCGGGAAGTTTCTACAGGGCGGCACGATCAGCTTCCGCGCGGCGCGCGCTGCTGATCCTTATAGATTGGGATTTATCTGCGCCGAGAAAGTCGGCAAGGGCACGCTGCGCCTGCATTCGACGCGAGGGTGGCGAACGAGGCGCCGCCCAAGACCACGCTGCCCGCGGCGGCCGCGCGGGCCGCCCTGGAGTCCGACCCGCGGCGCTGGCCCAGGGCGGCACCCAGCGCGCCTTCTACCGCATGCTCGCGCACAAGGGCATGGGGGAGCTCTTCGCGCCCCCCACCATCTCCACCCGCCTGCTGAATATCCAGCATATCGACGGGCAGCCCATACCTCCTGACTGCATCCTCCATCCGATGGCGCGCGTCTTGCCGATGGGCTGGAACTGGCCGCTTCTGTTTTGCCAGAGTATCATGCGCAGGGCTTTCGTGCGCAACGGTTTCGGCGACGGTGACCTCAGCGAGGACGGCCGCCCAAGACCCGTCCTCCTGGCGAGGGGCAGCGCGGCCGCGGCAGGCTACGTGGACCACTTGGCCATCATCGGCGGCGACGCGGAGATCGTCGCCGCGAGGAGGGGCCAGGTCACCAGGACGTTGGAGGTTCGGAGGCTTCCCGTTCACTCGATCGACGTCGCTTCCTCCATCTGTCTCCACGCGCCTCGAGATCAACGGCGACCTCGGGGCCGCGAGGGCGAAGCCGTCCAGCGCGACGCGGCCTCGTCAGGCGCTCCGCGCCGTCTTGCGGCGGGGGGCCGCGTCACCTCGCGCGGGCAATGATTTGCCAAAGAGAGGCCCTCTTCATTCTGTCGTCCGTCTACGCGTTCAAGTCCTTGAAGGATCCTGGCGTTCGGCCCTTATGGGGCGAAGTCAAGTTCCAGCTTCGGCGTGTCGCTAGGACTCTGCCGCTCTGGACATCGCGCATGAACGCCCCTTGGAACTCGCGCGTTTCGGCTTCAGACGGCTCTCCGATTGGCGTCGGTGCGTTCGCTCGTCGGCTCGAGGGGCCCCGAGTGGCCGATGTTGGGAGGCAGGCGGAGAAGTGGCGCGATCGACGCACGTCGGCGGCGTCGGCAAGAGCTGACGCACATGGTCTCGATGGGGCCCCGACGTCTCGGATCTCCTGGAGGACCTCGCAACAGGGGCTTCTGCGAGATCAGCTCATGCAAGCCTCGTCGTGAGCCACCGTCATCTCCAGGAGGCACTGGAACCCCTTCAAGAATACTTTGGGGCATGAGGGCGATGCGTTGTGCGATGCTGTTCGGCATGCTGCTCGTAACGTTTCGCTCCACCACCGCCGTCACTTATTGCTCGTCGATACTTTACTTGTGGCTCTGGCCGCTGGCAGGCCGACTCTTCGGCGGCCCTTGCGAAGGATCATGGCCCTCGCGCTCGCTTCCAACCTTCTGCGTTATGTGCGCTGGCTGCCGTCGGAGCTGAACGTCGCCGACTGGCCGTCTCGCCATGGCTTCTTCCACGGCAAAGGTTTCGAGAAGGCGCGCCGCGCCGCGGCGGATCGCGCCCTCCTCGAAGGAGCTGGCCTTGACGATCGCGGCGGCGCAGGCCTTGAGCCCTCCTCGAACGGAGGGGCTGGCCGGGGGGGCCATCAGTTTCCTCGAGGACCCCGCCGTCTCGGACGCGACGGGAACTCGGCGCCGTTGCCATGCTCTACGATTCCCGGAGTGGCTGGGGGGACACGAGCACGACTTCGTCACGGCCAGCCAGATGGACACGATGCTGGCGTCCTTCCTGGCGGACTTGGCCCTGGACGGTTTCGACGCGGCGACGGGGGGGGGTGGCGGTCGCGGCGCCGCGGCCTTTCCTGCCCCGCATCCTCGGCGGGAAGCGCCCGCTTCCCCGAGCTACGCGAACCCTCGATGGCTGGCGCCGTTTGGTTCCACCACAGATGCGCCTGCCACTTCCAAGCTCGGCGGCGACGGCGGTGGCGGGCTGGCTCGCCTGGGTGAACTTGCCCAGCATGGCCGCATTCGTGGCGCCGGTCTTCCACGCGCCGTTTCCGCGCGGGCTCGCCGGCGCCGCCAATCCCTGGATCTGGCTTCAACACTTGGGGCCTCATCGTGAACGATGCGAAGTCGGGTCGCCCTGGCAAGACGGGCGCGACGGACGAGTCGGCCCAGGTGGGCGCCCCCAAGCTTTGGGCCGCGCTACGCGCGCCGACGCTCCACGCGCCATCGGGCGCCAGCCTCTGGAACTTCAGGCCCGCCGACGCGCGCGCGATGTCCCACCGGGCCCAGATGGAGCCGGGGCTGCAGAAGGAGCCTTCGTCACTGTACGCCCTCCGCCATGGGGGGGGCCTCGCGCGACTTGCTCTCGGGGGCTCGCTCGATAGCGGAAGCGAAGGAGAGAGGGGGGTGGATTCAGGACAAGTCGCTAAGAAGGTACGGGAAGCGGATTCGCACGCAGCAGCGAATCAGGGACCTTCCGGCGCAAGTCGCCGAGTTTGGCGAGCAGGTCTTCGCGAGGCTGTCGGAGCTGATCGAGACCGCGTTCGTGAAGGGCCCCTTCCCGCTGGCGGCCCCGCTGCAGGCCGCCTCCGTCGCGCCTCGGGCCGTGAAGCGGGCGCCTGATCTGACCACAAGGTAGTTTCTCGTATGAGGTCGGCTTTTCGACGCGCCCACGCGCGGGCGCCCCGCCGCCGTCGGCTCGTTTTGCCAGCGGTCGGGTCTCACGGGGCACCCTTTTGCAAAGCGTTGCGCAGGCGTGGTTTGGGATGTCCCAAGTTTGGCGCAGGTCGGAATCTGGGTCTCGGTCTGACTGAGCGGGCGGTCGTCGATCGACTCCTCGGGTGGATGCGATCGTCGGCTGTCTGTGCCTGCTGGCTCTCCCTGCCGAGAGGGTCCTGGATCGAGTCTGGGCCCCCTCTTGTCCGCAGTCTGTCTGATTCGCGGGGCCGGGCCGCGCCTGCTGACCTTCGGTCTGAGCTCCCAGCCGTCTGGCCAGACGATGTCGACATGTGTGCGGCTCTCACAATTATTCGAGCTTGTATCGAGCACGCTGTGCCCGTCTGTCTTGAACGCCCGAGGGCCAGCCGCATTTTTGCCATGCCCGAGTTTCAATCACTTGTGAATATCCCGTCTTTTCATCAGATTGATCTGGACCTTTGCCAGTGCGGATCGTCCACCCGCTCGGCAACACGAGTATTCAGCTGGCACTGCCCGCAGCTCCAGCGTCTCAATGCCCGTTGCAATCAGCATAGTTATGTGTGCTCTTCCCCGGGGCGGCCTCATTTACAATTCAACGGCCGCACGGCCAGTTGCGTGGCCTGCCGACATATAGCCGCGCGTTTCCCCGTCAGAGCCGCCGAGCTTGTTGCCGATTCCCTCGTCAGTGCTATTGAAGATCTGTCTCGGTCCAGCATGTATAATCTTGCCGGCCTTCGGCCATAATGTAGTGTTACACAAGGTACATTGTGTTGTCTGCGTGTGTCTGCCGTCACTCTTGGAGCCGAGGCATCGCTTCCTGCCGCTGCCGCCGTCAGCTGTTCTGGAAAGATCCAATGGCCACGGCAACCCTTCCTGGTAGAGTAACAACTCTTAGTGTGAACTGTGTTGGGGTAGGGGGAGAGTGGCCGCACAACTGCAAATATTTGCGGTCAAGCTCCCAGGCCCACCTGCCCTCGCTTGAGGGATTTGATATTGAAGTTCGACGTCTGTGCTGTCTGCGCGCGTCTGCCTATACTCTTGGAGCCGAGGCATCGCTTCCTGCCATTGCCACCGTCAGCTGGTCTAAAAATATACAATGGCCACGACAACCCTCCCTGGCATCATCACCATCATCATCATCATCATTCCCCTGTCGTCCACCGAGACTGAAGCCTTCAGCCACCCACCATCCCCACCCATCCTCCTCGTCATCCTCACTCCCCGTCCGCGGCCACGGCACCGAGAGGGCATTGTGCATCGTGCCTTTTTCTGTCCCTTCCGACCTCGGGCTTCGGAGGATAGAGAGGATGGTGTCTTGGTCGGGGTCCATGCATGTCCTCTCCCTCGTTCCCTCTCTCGGAAGTTCTCCCGTCTTTCCATCCCTGAGATCCGACGTCGCGAAAGGATGTAACATCGTGAGAAATCGCGACCGGAACCCTCGGCACAATCTCTTTGCTGCATTTTGCGGCCGGACCGATCTGCGAGAGCCGCGTGGCCCGAGACGGGGCGAGAACGCCCGGTGCAAAACAAATGCGACGACCAGATCTCAGGGTACAGTTGAGGCGATCGCAAACATGGATCAAGGGGGCATGGATTAGCGACGGGCCCCGCTTCCATGGGAAATCGCGGATTCCCGCCGCCGAACAAAGAGACGGCACCGGCTGCACTTCGGGGAGGGCACCTCCCCCGATCCATGGATTTGGCGACCGCGCGCCAGACCAATGGATGGCTAATCCATGTTTGCGCGCCCCCGAACATTGTCTCCAAGGGGGTTCACAGTCGGTTGCGTTCGGTCGGTTCGGTTCGGCCGGTAATTGTGTCATTGCCGCGTCGCTGCGCCTTTCTAGGTTGCGTTCGGCCTGTCGATTTCGGTCGGTTTCGGTTTCGCTGTCGGTTTTGCTGTCGCCGTGCACGGCCTTGGTCTCCGCTCTCCCCCTGACCGCGGGAGGCGTGTTCTGCCGCGCCCCGCTGGGACCTCCCGCCAGGGCTTCTACTTCAGGGCCTTTGTGCAGCTGTTCTGTGCGGTAGCGCAGGGCTGGCTGGGCGGCATAATCGTCAAGAGGCTCTCTCCGCTGCCTCGCACCTCTCTCACTGATGTGGACGCGGCCCCGCGCTCGGAGGCCTTATCCCGTGGAACGAGCCGCTGCTGAAAACCCGCAACGCTGGCAAGGACAAATACTGATAAATAGGGGGGAACGTTGACCTTGACATCCTCTCGTGGAAAAAAGCAATTGGTTGTTTTCCAAATGTTCGGCCTCCGGGGGCCCTCGCTGGGCCCCGAGACCGTCGAACAATTATTCAGGATGAGAAACCGATCACCCGGAAGGGGTACACATTGCAAAAATCACGACGGAGGATGTTCGCGTTGGCAAGGAACATTAACGTGGAAGCAAGGGAGGGTTGGTTCAGAAAGTGAAGCGCACCACGGGAGCACGACACCATGGAGAAGAACCAGGATCCGACCGCATGGATTCGTGTTGACATACAGGTTATCACGCCCGGAGTAGCTCCCGACACCATCTCCGTGAGAGGGACAGATCAGTCCGTGAGGGATCCGCCATTCGGTCTGTTTCGCTACAGTCAGATCGGAAGGAGGGGCGCAGTTTCGTGGATAGCGGACGGGGCGCGAGCAGCGAGGGCAGTTCTGCGGCGGGGGCGGCGAATGCGGACGATGAGGTTGGAGTTTACGGGGAGGCAGGCTTCGAGGAGGAGGAGGAGGAAGCGGAGGAGGAGCAGGGCGGATGGGCATCGTCTTGGCGAGTTGAGGTGGGGATCCTACGAGCAGTACCAGAACGAACGGAGGAGTTCACGATGTGGCGGAGGTTGACGGATTAGAAGGAAGAGGAGGATGACGAGGAAGAGGAGGGCGGGTATGATGGATGAAGAAGGAGGGGGAGGGAGAAAGGGGAGTCAAGCTCAGTGTAGTGGATGGTGGACGTAATTTCCGGCGCAGAGCGACTCGCTCGTTTTGCTTCATGTCTGGCAGAGGGCATACGGATCTGGAGGGGCAGCAGCAGCAGGAGGAGAAGGTGTTGAAGGAGAGGGAGGTTGAAGGGGCGGAGGAGTAGGGGAGGAGCATAGGGAGGAGGAGGACGAGAGGGGGAAAGAGGAGCAGGAGCAGCCGTCAGAGTAGGACGCCGCATGTCCGCAGGTTCTCCACGGTCGTGAAGAACATCGCCAAGAGTTTATCCCTCATTCTGACGGCCCGCGAGCGGCTCCTTCCGAGCTCTGCCTCTGATCGTGCGCGCAGGAGCCTGCACGGTTGACGCATGGGCTAAGAGCAGCCCTAGATTTGGATGCATGCCCTTCGCTCTTCGCGTTGGGACGTTCCACCCTGGAGTGTGCGCGCGCGTTTGTGTGTGTGTGTGTGTGGCCCATCTGCTATTCAAGAGGAAAAATTCGCCTGCCCGTGTCCCGGCTTAGCGCATCGCGACGGTTTAGTCACCTCGCCATTGGAGAACAAGATGTGTGTGTGTGTGTGTTTGTCTGTGTGCCTGGGTTTGTGTTTGTGGATTTGTGTTTGTGTCCGTGTGTGTGTGTGTATTTGGATGTTTGTGTGTTTGTATGTTTGTGTGCGTATGCGTGTGCGTGTGCGCGGGCGCTTGCGCGTCCGCGTGCTTGTGTGTGTGTGCGCGTGCATGTGTGTGCTGTTTTTTTGTTCCGCCGTATTTCGTCTCTCCTTCACAGTGGCCACCCATGCCCGGCTGGCCTACGGCGCAGGGTTGCGCACTCGCTTCTGAGGTGTGCGCGGTGGTACTAAATGTTCTACGCCTCATGTGCGCGCGCGTGTGTGTGATTTCGGTTTTCTCTGCCTCGTCGTTGCGCTGGAGGCCCCAGAGGGTGCTCCACCGAATGCCCCAGTGGCGCAGTTCGCATGCGTTTCCCCCACCAAGTCCAGCGCATCGTGGCCCCTGAAAGGGAACGCGAAGGTCCCAGTGGAGCAGTTCCCATGCGTCTCCCCCACCCAGTACAGCGCTCCGTGGCCCCATAGGGCCTCCACCCAAGGTCCCCATGGCGCAGTTCGCATGCGTCTCCTCCATCCAGCACAGGTCTTCGTGGCCCCATGGGGAGCTCCAACGAAGGTCCCAGTGGCGCAGTTCGCATGCGCCTCCCCCACCGAATACAATGTTTCGCGGCCCCATAGGTCCACCGAACGTCCCAGTGGCGCAGTTCGCATGCGTCTCCCCCACCCAGTACAGCGGGCGCTTCGTGGCCCAATAGGGATCTCCACCGAAGGTTCCAGTGGCGCAGTTTGCATGCGTCTCCCCCACCCAGTACAGCGCTTCGTGGCCCCAAAAGGAGCTCCAGCGAAGGTCCCTGTGGCACAGTTCGCATGCGCGTTTTCCCCCGCCCAGTACAGCGCTTCGTGGCCCAAGAGGGAGCTCCACCGAAGGTTCCCTTGGCGCGGTTCGCATGCGTCCGCCCCACCCAGTACATCGCTTCGTGAACCCATAGGGAGCTCCACCGAAGGTCCCAGTGGCACAGTTCGCATGCGTCTCCCCCACCCAGTACAGCGCTTCGTGGCCCCATGGGGAGCTGCACCGAAGGTCCCAGTGGCGCAATCCGCATGCGTCTCCCCCACGCAGTATAGCCCTTCTAAGCCCCAGGGGGACCCCAGCACAACGATTCGTGGCCCCAAAGGGAGCTCCACCGAAAGTCCAGGCAGCGCAGTTCGCATGCGTCTCCCCCGCCCAGTACAGCGCTCCGTGGCCCCATAGGGAGCTCCACCGAAGGTCCCAGTGGCGCAGTTTGCTTGTGCCTCCCCCGCCCAGTACAACGCTTCGTGGCCCCAGAGGGAGCTCCACCGAAGGCCCGAATAGCGCAGTTCGCATGCGTCTCCCCCACCAAGTACAGCGCTGCGTGGCCCGTAGGGAGGTTCACGGAAGACGATATCCACAGTTGCGGTACCCACAATTGCGCATGATTGGTTTTCCACCAGGCTAATTACGTGTGTCGCGTGTTTCGGCTCCGCCAGCATCTGTTGTGTTCCGTGTTCTGGGGTTTTGCCAGGTCCTCTTGCGTTGTTGGTTTGTGGGTGTGCGCCCGATTAAGGCTTCGCAGGACCTTTGCACACGGTGTTGTACCGCACCATTCTGCTGGTCTGGCAGCAGTTGCAGATTGTTTTGCGCGTCGCTGCTTGATACCGTCGCGCCGGTGACCCAATGGCCGCCAATTCGCACCAGACTGCTCGCGTTTCAGTGTATTTCGGGTTGAGTCGCCTCCCCGCTTTTCTGGCCGCTGCACGTTTCGCTTTGATTCGCAGTTTTTTTTCACACCACCGATCGCTGCATTGACAGTGCGCACATGTTGCACACTGTGCCTTCGACAATGCTAGATCGCAAATAGCACTTCCATCGACTGCTCGCGCCTGAGGTTCCTCTTCGCCGCCGGATTACAAAGTGTGCGCGTGTGTGTGTGTTTGTGTGTGCAACTGTGTTTCGATGCAGCTGTTTCCGTCGGGCCTTGGGCCTTCTGCGCAGGGGCTCGCGTGTTCGAGCCGCGTTGTGGTGGCCACGATCCAAGTGGACAGCCCCAGCTGTCTAGCATGATGCACTTCACTGGCGCGTTGATAGTGACGTGTCGGGTGTCCAGGATTCGCTCGATTCTTTTTCCAAAACAAGGGTACCTTCCACCCCCCCCACTCGCCGAACCCGAACTTAGCGGGGGGGCCTGGGACATTACAAATTACGCACGATTGTGCCGCATGGTTCATTTTCCGTGTGAACTCAAATCGCCTTGGGCAGGCCGGGTATTGCTGCCTTTAGTTTTGTCAAATAACATTGTGCGCGTTCATCCGTGCACTTGCATTAATACTGTTCAAGAACCGCTTTTCAAAAGCGGCAAACAGTCCACACAGCCCCGCCCATGTCGAAATCAGACCAAACACATGAATTGTGCAAGCGGTTCAACATACGGACCCCCAAAAACCCGCAGGTGTTCCACCACAAGTCTTGCAGCGTTGCTGCCCGCACGAGTTTGCTGCAATCGCATGAGATGAAATACATGTGGCGTTCTACAGATGTTGTGCACAACCCGCATTCTCATCTTACAACGCGGTGCATCTGTTTTGAACTGGCATGCACCCAGAACACGAATTCGTATCGAATGAAACCATGAGAGTCACACGCGCGCGGGCCGCCACGCGGGCGTGTCGAAAGCCATGCGAAACCACCAGTTCTCGAAGCATGTAAAGATCGAGTTCGAAACGTATGAACCATACATGTCAATTAGATGCTTGCCAGCTGTTATAGGCTTGCGCCATATCCGCCCCCCCCCTTACATATCGGACGGCCCTGCCATTGAGGCGGAAGGAGGTCCATGATGCCGTCGGCCCAGCTTGCCGCAGTTCAATCGTCGTTGTTGGTGTTGTTGCCGTCGACGTCGTGCATTGTCGTTGTTTGCGTTCTTCGTATTGTTTTGTTGTCATCATCGTCGCCAGTTGATTTCGCGCGTCTCCGTTGTTGTCTCGTCGCCGTTGCCCAGCCCGATGTCAGCACACATGTCGCATAACCGAATGCAGCCGAGAATAACCCCCCAGGGAGAATCAAGTTCGGCGGTTACGGTGTGATAATAAAAGTTGCCCACCAGGACCAGCATACATATGTTAACAGAGGAGCCAAAACCGAGGATATGTTGAGACATTCTTGGCTTTTGGTCCTCTCTGAAACATCCTGAAGGAACGTGTCGGCTTTTAACATTTTTATAATGCAGAACTGAAGCTCGGAGGTGCGCGCGCGCGCATCTGAGCTTCACTTCTATAGTATTCACCATGAATAAATCGATTTTTTTAATTCCAAAAGCAAAATTAAAAATGCTGGAGCCCGCTAACGAGGCTGAAGGAACGTGTCGGCTTTTAATATTTTTATAATACGGAATTGAAGCTCGGAGTTTCTATAGAGATTCCTCATGTGCCTCGTTTTCCCAGGATAAACAACCACAGCGATAAACAAGTTCAGGGGGGCAGGGGGAGGAGAAGAAAGATAGCGAGATCAATAGAAATATAGAAAGAGAAGAGGTAGAGGAGGAAGAGGAGGAGGAGGAGAAAGAGCAAGAGGAGGAGAGGAGAAGGAGACAGCAACAATCCAAAGTTTAAAACTTATTATAGTTAATTTGTAAGCGCTTAATGGAAATTAAACGTTTCATCTGCCCGTGTAGGGTAGCTCACGTGCCTCGTTTTCCCAAGATGACCTACCCACGCGATAAACAAGTTCAGGGCGCCAGAGGGAGAAGGAGGAGAAAGAGATAGAGAGACAGAGAAAGAGAGAGAGAGACAGAGAAAGAAAGAAAGACAGAAATAACTACAAAGAGACAGAAGGACATGGGTTTCGCTTGAGACATAACGTGTTCGCTTCGCTTGGTGTTGTTATCTCAACACAAGAAGGACGTAACCTCGATGGCGAACTTTTCCCCGTGTTAATGAAGTTCGGCCTCCGCGCCCCCGCGCCCCCGACCAAACTCCTTATTGGCAGTGGATAATCAATTATTATGTGTATAGGGGGGGTACATTATTATCGTGGGTATGGGGTTACTTCGCTGCTCCACGGAAGGCTCCATCACAGGCGCCATTGGTTGTATTCACATGGTGGCCCGCCCCACTTCGGCAGACCCCTCGCACGTTTCGTGGCCCCACAGGGAGCTCTACCGAAGGCCCGAGTGGCTGCGTCCGCACGGTGTCGCCTCACCCTGTCGTTTCGTCCCGCTCAGTTGAGTGTGGCCTTGCGTTCCTTGTCGAAGCGTGCAGGGGCATTGCGAATCCGTAAGTATGTTCATGCACATTGGGCGGTCCTGCACCTCGGCGCCACGCGTTAGCATAGGGTTGGGTCCTTCGGCAGGGTAAATTTGTTCACGTAATCGTCTCCAGTTGGTGTCGCTCGTCGTCGCCGTTATTTGTCTTCGTCGGTGTTGCTATCGTCGTGGCTGCGTCGTTGTCGGTCGTCGCAAATGTAGTTGTCGTTGTCACATGTCTTATCGTTGCTGTTATTATGAATAAAGGTCGTAGGCCGTCTCGAAGGAGTCTTGGACCATCTTCGGGGCCGCATTGGGATATTGCGGCGTTGCGAGCGCATTTGGCGGCAGGAAAATGATGATGCTCATTGGACGGTTCTTGGAGTCTGATGCGGGGCTTCTGGAGGTCTCTTGAAGTCTTCGAAGGGGTGTTTTTGGAGTGTTTTGAAGCGTCCAGGGCGCCTATGGTTGCCTCTTA